CAACCTGCACCCTGCACCCTGCAAAATATACCTGCCGCTTTCTAAGACAAATTCTATGCTCAGAATTGAGGCATGTTTGTACAAATTTACCGCTTCGTGCTGCAAGTGCTTAGCAAAGTAACCATGCGGAGTACCAGTTAATGACGTCACAATGGCTACCAGAAAGGTCTACTTAGAGTGAGTAGATGAGTGGATTATTGTGTGGCAAATGAAGCGCTCTTTTAACTTAAACAACCTCACTCCATTTATGATAGTAAAGGCACAAATAGATTGTTAAAACAATTCATAAGGCTGTTAACTACGATCGTTGGAAATAGAGGTAGTAGTTGCTGTCTGTTCCCTTAACGCTTTTTTCATATTTGAAAAGTTCCTACATTTGAATTGCACCAGCAAATTTATTCAAATGAACTACACATGATATCTATTTAGGTCCAAGTCAGACATCAGTCCTCTTCAGAACTTGGAGGTCTGGCCCGAGCAAGTTACTTTGCTGGAAGAACTGGGTCGAGGGGCATTTGGGAAAGTACATAAAGCAGTTCTGAGAGATTCTCCAGGAGTGGAAGTATTTGACGGCAATATCAGAGGGACACATGTGCAGTTCAAAGAAGGACGAACAATTGCTGTGAAAGTTCTTAGTAGTAAGATGTTCTCCTTTCCAGTTTGGCTATTTATTTACACAGTTGCTTTATATCTTCTTTAATTCGTGTGCTGCTATATGCACAAGCTAATTTTTCACTTGTTTATTACCTACTTTTGCCAATAAGAATCACAACGCCAATTTCTCAAATGCGACGAATAAAAATACAAAGAAGCACGCTCAGGGAAAATAAGGATAAAAGCGCGCCATTTTGAGTGCATCTAGATATCGGCTTTTTTGATGCACAGAATGTTACTACACCTACATATAAATTTACATATACAAGGCTTTCTGATGGGTGGCATATACGATCAAGCAGCGTTTGTAAAACATTATTATAAGTAACTGAAATATTTCTGTTGTTCTAAATGGAAAATCTCTGAGAGGATTGGATAAAAATATTGGATAAAAAGATGTACCCCAGTGCACGGATGACATTAACAGGTAGATGAACTTATAAGAAGAAATGAGAAGGTTTCGTTCAACGGCAGAATGAAAACGTGCTCAAACACTTTTGTACCTTCCGGCTCGTATTTCTACAGTAGACTAAGCTGTAATTCTTAGTGTAGAGGCTAACGATAATTGTAACGCTTCATCCAATAGCATTAGCAAATGAACAAGACAAAGAACAGTTTCTGGAGGAAATTGATCTCATGAAGCAAATTGGTCACCACACTAATGTCCTCGGTATGATTGGTTTCTGGACGAGGTCAGAACCCTTCCTTCTGCTGTTAGAGTATGTTCCGTGCGGGGATCTACTGCATTGGCTCAGGGAAAAGAGAAAACAAGTAAGGTTTACATATTTAAGGAGGTAAACTAATCAGTGGAAAGTCCACTTTAGAAGAATATCACTAGCCACGTAACCCTTATCTTAACAAAGTTTGAGTTTAAACTGAAACAACACGACTACTCATCTTGAAATGATCTTTATTGCAGTTCGATTTTAGTGAATAAAACAGTAAAACATCAAGCCTTACTCATTAGGAGTCAACTGTGGTTCTAAGCCAATAGGAAAAAACCGCTCAGAGCTCTGTAGAACTGGCTCGTCAACTGGAAACTTGACAAACAAAAAGATCAGCGAAAGATGTAACTTGAATAACATCTTTTAAGGGTCGTATCTTTATTTCTTTCTTGGAAAGGTTGACAATGGGAAGTTTCCGAAACTTCAAAACATGGAACTTTTGACACTTAATACAGTTGAAACCAACATGGGAGAGAATACTGCAGGGATTGGCAGGAGCATTCTCGCTGACAGTCAACCAGGACAAGAAATTAAGAAAGTAAATAAAGGGGCGATTGATGGAAAAGATTTCCAGGACAAAGAAGTAAATAATGGCGATGAAAAGTGTGAATATCAAAGTCACAAAGACAAAAATCTGTGTAAAACAGAAAAATTGGCGGCTGAAGAAACTGTGGGGAAACATTTCGGTGAGGACGAAGATGAGAAAGACAACAGTGATTTGGAAACAAATCCCTTCATAAAACTGGAGCTTTGCGAAGAACCTCTAGAAGTGAAATACACCGTGTCTCAAGAAGACACTAACAATGACAATGACGATTGTGGAGATTTGATTGCTAAAGATATGTTATCTTTCGCATGGCAAATAGCACGAGGGATGGTAAGTAACGAGCAGTCGCTCTTATAAGATTTAATAGCTGGCCTGAAGTGACACGATCAACTATTTTTTCTTGTTTTGAATCAAATTTTTTTTCAAATAATAAGTATTAAGTTGTCGGTACACAATTATTTAGCAGCGGAACAGTATTTTCCATTTTTCATCTTAAAACCAAACCTATACTACTCAAAAAGAACTGCAACATTGTTTATTTCAATTTCACATTTTACAAAAGTGTGCTGTATCAATAAACTCAGTTGAGTACGCGTAAATTTGATGTCGTTTAAATTCAAAAAAAGATCAGTTTTAAAATGATTTAAGCATGAGTTTATCGTACCCACAGTTTTTGAGTTGGCTGACATAAATTGCTTGAGTGAGTTGATTCTGTTACTGTTGCTGTTTTTTAACAGAGTTATCTGTCAGGCAGGGGATTTATCCACCGTGACTTGGCAGCTCGTAATGTCCTTGTTGGAGAAAGCAAACTTGTTAAAATTGCAGATTTTGGTTTGATGCGTTACACGGATGGAGATATATACGAAGTGAAGAGGCAGAAGAAACTCCCCATAAAGTGGATGGCACCTGAAGCTATTACGAACAGTATCTACACAGCACAGAGTGATGTGTATGTTACTTTATATATCAGAAAATGATTTTCCTGAACATTAGACGGGATGGTTTGTTATTGCTTACATAAGAGCTGGTTTAATCATATTATAAACTTTCTGTACGTGTGACTGTGTGTATCTTTCAGGTGGTCATATGGTATTCTTCTTTGGGAAATATCCACAATGGGTAAGAACAACTTCATTAATCATTTCTTAAATTTTTTCTCTTATACCTTAGGAATCAACTTGAGACAATTTCAAGTAATACAACTGTCAATTTTGAATTCGAAAGTCTCCGGTGCGCAATGGCATCACAGAGCAGATATTACAATAATGTAGATGGAGAATACTTAATTGCCTTCGACTCACGTTTTTGAGTGGTGTTTTCAAAGTTAGGAACGTTGCTCCTACATCTTTTCGAACACAGAAAACATAGAATAAAGCAGAAAATTTTGATCTTTAGTGCGATTTGTATAAGAGAAATACTGCTCTGTGAAAAAACTGTTTGAGTCATTTCCTTTCTCTTATTGCCAGCGAACCAATGTTTTACAGTGCGTTTATTGAAACCGGGGCCACGCAGACAATGAAAACCAATCAGATAGCAGAACTGAAACAATAGATTCCAACATTTTCAAATCCAACCAATCAAATGTTCGGTTCAAAACAATGAAATCTCAACATGTTCGTTGTGATGCTGAGTGAAAATGTTGGAATCTATTGTTTCAGTTCTCTCATCTGATTGGTTTTCATTGTCTGGGTGGCACCGGTTTCAGTAAACGCACTGAAATGTTGTCTGGGATGGTTTGGCATATCCTCAATTACTGAGCTTATGATCTTAACTTAAATGAACAAATTCTGTTACAGGTGGCACCCCGTATCCCGGAATTAACAACAAAGAACTACGCAATCTTCTCAACACTGGATATCGTTTGGAAAGACCAGATAGCTGTTCAGAAGAATTGTAAGTCAATAGTCATGCAAGATCTGACTTGAGCATAGCTTTACCGCTGTATCTACTAATAACACAAACATTTGAAGATTTAATCACTAGCAAACTGCCAAAGTTCTTCAAAAAGATGTCGGAAATTCTTCTTTTCCCTGTAAGGAGGAACAAAATGAAGTGATTTCACACTATAAAGCGCAGCTCAGATCTGAAAGTTGTTTCACTCAGCACTGGAGCAAACTTATGACTGAGTGTCGCCTATTTTGGTGCTCTTCAGCGCCCAAAAAAGTTCACAGATATAACAACCATTTTACAACTGCCAGTACACATTTTATTGCACGTGCTCTACTATAAGAGATAACAAAAACCAATTTTAGGATGCAGTCTTTTGCATTAACTTGCTTTGTTCCAAAAAAAAAAAATGATTTCACGAGAGGCACAACAAATCAACACCGTGTTGCAATGGGATATGAAGCTTGTATTTTAGCCACCTCATGAACCATTCTAAATTACTTTTAAGTGATATATTAATGTTTTCTTAGGTATTCATTAATGCTGGACTGCTGGCAAGACGATCCCAGACGCAGACCTACATTTGAACAAATTGTGGCATCACTGGAGGTTATGATGACGAGAGATACTCCATATTTTGATTTTAATCAACTGGATGAATCCCATTCGTATTACAATATTGCGTCATCGTTCAGTTGTACCAATGAAATGAAAGACGAACAGACGGAGACTGCACTTGTATCAATGGTGAATCTAGATGCGCCTAAGGGAAAATGCTCAGGTTGAAGATGTGGCGTTTCTTACCAATGTGACAAAATTACTCAGATCTTCCACCAGCATTAAGATTTTAAATGATGATGATGATAACGATGATACTACTCTATCTAACCTCGAGCAACTGGGGCTTGTTAAGCTGCTACTTTAAACAGCTGATGAGTCGAGTCAGTGAGAACATCAAGAGATTTATATGTTGAATAACAGTAAGTTAAAAAAGTGCTAACAACTGCCTTTCATAATAGTGCACCGTTAACATCAGTAATATAGATCACTTTTCATTTTGATGCAAAATTTTGATACTTCATATCGATTTGATTGCCATGTACCGATTTCCAAGAGCTAATTCCTCGTATCCGTCCATCGTTCCAGATTCTACTTTATAAATGCGTGGTGTGCATTTATTCTCCTATTGTAAAACTTAGTCGCCACATTTTGTCTTCTAGATCTCGACCACTTATGTGTTAACTTTGTATACCGTATTATCTTTTTCGACGTAGTGGTTGACTATTTACGCGGTCTGGTTATAGCACCCGTTTTAGCGTGAGCATAACCTCAGAAGGTCCTTGAACTGGGTGATTGTATCGTATCACGTTACTTTTAGACATTTTTATGTGGATTATATTTCAGATTTTCTAGTATCGAATATTTTCCAACGAATCTTCCAGTACTTTGGTGGGCCTGAGGTCAGACCTGAGCAAACCTCATTTGAAGTGAACGCATTACGAAGCACGACGGTTTTTTAAAGCCTTTATTTAAATTTGTGTAATTTGTAGATTTTCATCAACTATAACGAGTGTGCTACGGAATAAAACTTAAGCTTGTTCTGTTTATAATTAGTGTTAGTTATTAATAGAAATTTTACCTCGGGAAATTCTGTTCACCTTGATAAAAGTGTTCAGTCTATGTCCGCTATTTTAAGTAAAAAACATTTGCATTAAAATTATGGGAAACATAACATACATCCAGTTGTCAATTTGCAAAGAGTAATAGAACTTTCCCAAAAATTGTACTATTTCATCGGTTAATGTGAGTTGCATGAGAGGTTCAATACGTATCTACAAGTATTAAATAGTTGAAAGTAAAACCTGCAGAACACGACAGTATTCACGTTTGCGAATGTATCGAAATTGTTTCAGATGGTGCCCAGAAGGACGAACATCGCCATATTAATATCATGGTTGAACTGTAACATATTTAAAAACTTGCTTCATGATAGACCCCGTCCACACGACACTAGAAATTTGAAAACGATGTTTTCACTCTGAAAGCGAATCAAATTTTTTCCATCCACACCACGCCGGCGAAATTTGAAAACTCGGACAGGAAAAATCACATGATTATGGTGACGTCATCGTTTTCGAAAGGCTCCGTTTTCAAAATATTTTCCGTCCACACTTAAACGCAAGGCCGGCCCTTTTCAAATTCCTTCGGTTCTCGCCGCGGACGTCGGCGCGAGATCGTGCACAAGTCCACGAAACCTTGCACAACTGACGAATTAGAAGGCGAAAATCCGCAAGTATTTTGGACCTTCCTTTGCCCCAATATTTTAGAATGTAGACGACTTTACAGGATTGTGTACGTCGGAGGACTGATTCGGAAGAAAATTCTCCATTGCTTGCTTTCCTCATATTGCTACATTGAACTCAAAGAGTGAACACCGTGCCACAAATTTTGCCACCTTTTTATACCAGCACTTTGTGTAGATAAAGCTTAAATGTTTACATCATCTACTCAATTAATATTTTATAGTTAAAGAAAAGCAATAAAGTAATACTGAAGTGAGTTGGTGAAGAGTTAAATATAATTATCCAGCTTGTTGAATACATGTATGAGATGATCATACAACCTCGACACCATGCACGCGGCCCTCAGGAAATCATCTTAACGAACGCGCTCTAGAGAAATTATTACAAGTTATTTATTATTTATATACCCTTTTGACTTTGTTGTGTATGTCTATGACTGCCTGATGGAAGGGAATAAGAAACTAGTGGCAAAACATACCAAAGATTGGTAATTTGAATAACTTCATACAGCAACGGTGATTAATCGCTCATTAGGGTTAGCAGAAATACGTCAGTGCTTTATCTAAAAAGTCGGTCTTTGCTCTTAAAAGCTTTTGACCAGTGTGGGTTATACTTTTTAAACCATTTCAGTATTGTTAGACATGTACCAGTTCTAACGGTACTGATTTGGCACTCTTATTAAAGTAAAGGAGGTGAGAATGACTAAAGAACCACATCTGTTCTGTGTGTGGGTTTTCTGGCTCAGTCTCAAATGCTCTGTCATTAAAGGAAATGAAGGTAAGCTCACGATTACACAAAATCTGACAGAACAAGATAAAAGATGTGGGACACACAAATGTATAATAAGGCTTGCTGTGTTATTTTTTTTTCTCGAGCAGTGAAATGCGCTCGAACACGGTTCACGATTCAGAAATGGGATGAGTATTAGAAAAATAACGACCCTTAGCTTTGATGTAGAAATACGTCAGTAAAAGAAGAAAGGCCTTAATAGCAGGAAGATGCAACAAATCAGTAGCTCATTGGCCAATGTATCTTAAACCCCACAAACCTGCAACGACTCAAGATCGATAAAGAGTTTGAAAAGGTTTAAATTTATGTCAGTACTGTATTTTTAAGAGATGTAAAAGGAAACGAAAGATGATTCAATTCAAATGAACTATAGTATTCCAATCCTTGCATAAACGTCCTCAAAAAAACCATAAAAAGGTCATTAACATAAGTTAAACCATAGCATATGTTTGCTCATTAATTTACGGACGGTTGCTTTGTTTGACTTTGTCATTTAAAGTAGTAATGAATTGTATAACTGCTATTATCTAACAAAGGTGTAAAGATTCACATCTGCCCTGATTACTGTAGCTTAACTGCCTTTTTTTCTAATTCTAGATCTATGTTTGGGATACTCTATAACTCTTTGAATAACCACTGATGATCGTGAATGTTCCTTCACCGACAATTAGTTAATTGCTGATCAACTGAGTTAGGTTACAATTTGCAGAAGTCGAGTTTCTGTCGGACTCTTTTTCTTGGACAATTTGAAATTCTCAGTACAAAAATGATTATCAGCTGTATCACTACTATTTAAATCTGAAATCAATGGCAGTGAAATTCATTAAAATTTACATACTTGCTGTAAAAAACTGAGCTGTAAACGGTTGACTTTGAGGGGGATTACACTGACTTACATATAGCTCCATATTAACGTAACGGAAGCCTTTTCCTTTCTTCTTATCCGTCTATCTGTTTCTAACAACTTCTTAAACTCAGCTCAAGTTTGAGGTGTGTTGACTGAAATGTCTGGTTACAAATTGGTATCCCTCGAAACTACTTAATATTGGTTATTCCACACCGTCCATCACTTCAGTTCATTTTTTATAAACTCGAGTCGGGTTTTGTTTGCACTTGTCGTCCGAGTAATTTAAGCTTCACATATCTCTCTTACTTGCGAAAAGGATTTTCCATGAATATTTTTTTTCGGCTAATCGCATACTTCTTTAGAGGAGTTTAATTTATAACGCACTCATAAAATTCTCCAAGTTCCAAGGAAAGAGCCCCTTACAATTCTTTCAATAACTGCCCAGTGATCTCACAGATAACTCGTTCAACGGTCACTTAAATGAGATGAACAAAAGATATGTGCGTTTGCGTGCATATTGCATCTAAAAGGGGAAAATGTATTTTGTTTCAATCCAGCGCCGTCCCTTATAACCATGGTCAAAATAAAAGAACTGGAACCATTGAAACCGTACAAAAATTGATAATATTTTGCAGAATAAAACGAAACTTAAGTAACCGCGAACTAAGACTTGCCATACATTAGTCAAATGAAGTCGCAAATAAAGCATTAACCAGGAAAAGATGTTAAACGTTAAGCCGTTATCTGCACAATCATATGTGGGAGGCGCGGTGGCCTCATGGTTAATGCGTTCGTCTCCAGAACGAGCAGTTCGGGTTCGATCCGTGGCCAGGGACATTGTGTTGTGTTCTTGGGCAAGACACTTCACTCTCGCAGTGCCTCTCTCCATTCAGGTGTATAAATGGGTACCAGCGAACTTAATGCTGGGGAGGGGTGGGGGGTAACCCTGCGATGCACTATCATCCCATCCAGGGGGAAGTAGAAATACTCCTTGTCGGTTTATGCTACAGAAACCGGGATAAGCTCCGGCCTAATGGGCCACTTGGCTCGTATGCAGACTTTACCTTACACAGTCATATAAATAGTTTGACTTAAAAAATAGATTCACATCGGAAAGCCTACAAATTCGAAATCGCTCCCCAAATTCAAAGTAACACCATCTGAGAGTGCATGAAACTAAACTTGTTTTTATCATTGTGTTACCATTTTCTGTAGTTCGAAAAAAGAACATTTTAATAAAAGCTCATCGGTAATTCACTTGTCCTTTTTGGTAACAGTAAAACACTTGCTAGTGAGCATTGCTTACTAATTTCGTGTAAACTCCTATTCATGATTGACAAGATAATGTGACAGGGTCTCAGAGATCTTATCTAAGGGCCCATCTACAAGAAATGCGAAGGAAATAAGCAGACTAAAATGAAAACAATTTAATATTCTACAAAATATTTTGTCAAAATATGAGCCACCTGCATACACCCAGACTTTATATTTCTTACAACACTAACTCGATAGTTTTACTGTTTCAGATTATTGTAGAACGTTAGAGTTCTTCCCACCTATCAATGGTTACGCCCTTGAAAACCACGTGATCAAAAATATATCTGTAGAGCGAGACGATACTTGTCAAATCGCCTGTTACCTCAAGAATGACTGTCTCTCTTACAATGTCGGTCGCCTTAAAGACGGAAGCTTCATCTGTGAACTGAGTGATTCAGACAGCAACCAATATCCTCAGGATCTACAGAGGCGCCAAGGATTTATTTTTCAAGGAACCAAGGTGAGATGTTTTATGATCTCTGAGTATGTTTTCATCACGACCGTTCTTTTCTTCATGTCGGCATTCAAAGTTACCTTTCCAACTGTCGCCATCAGTCCTTAGCTGTATTGCACACTTCCAGGTCTCCACAACCCAACTGACGCTTGAAAAACCAAAGTGTCGTATGGTTATCTCTCGAAACTCACTGGATATATTAGTGGGAATGAAAGACATACCACGGTGATAAACACGACAAAACTGTTTAAACTTAACTTTTCGTATGCTTCCACACAAATCTTCAGAAGTGACCGTTTCGTTACGATTCGATATGAGTTATTCTAGATCTTCCATTACCCCCGGGTCTAATTAGTTTTAGAAAGTTTAGCTCGTGTCGAGTATTGTTTGCCAAGGCTTATCGTCTGAGTAATTTTCGCTCCACGAATTTCTCTTTCCTGTGTAAAAGACCTCTCCATGAGTATGTTTTGACTCCCTGCGTATTATAACGCACTTCTAAGATACAGGGAAAGATCAAGCGATCAGAATAGGTGTGCAATCTCTGATAACAGATTTCCTTCGCAACGGTCGTTTTGCTTAAGTTGTCTGCTGATACAGCAAGGACTCGCCAAAAGTAAACACTTTAAAACGAACCCTGATTTTCTGTGAGGGAATTTTCCCAAATTTTAAAATATCGTCAAAGAACAGATTTACTTTGCATATTTACAAAGCATTGCACAATAACACCACTGATAAGAATGCGTTGTTTGATCCAAACAGATTGCATGTTCTACTAACTCGTGTACTTTATATGACGAATGTGCGATTGATACAGATAACAAGAACATGTGTGGATCTTGTGGAAAAGATGGCGTATCAGGTTAGTTTAACCACTGCTGCATTTCGTATCATGCAGCATAAAGCCGCTCTAATCAGGGGCTGGCGGGGAGTTTTAGTCCCCCTACTTTATAACAGTAAAGATAAATAAGTAAAGGAAAACATCATATAATATAACAACGTATTATGAATAATAATGCAGATCGTCTTCATCAGTGGATCATATGCCTTGATGGGAAACTCCGTGGTCAGGTATACTTGGACGAATTATTTGCAGCCAGACACAAATGTTGCCGATGTTGCTAAGGTGAACGCGCTCGCCTAGCAGAGCTTAAATCAAAGCACCGTCCATCGTAATATGTTTTAGAACGACGCGTTTTCGAAAACCCATCAACGCTTCGTGCACACACCACTGTTTCCGCAGCGTTTTCGCAATCCATACCAAACCGCTCGAAATACTGATATCCAATCACTCGCGAATGTGCATGCAGGTGAATTACTTTAGCGGTTTCGAAGTTTTCGCGTTTTCAACTGTTTACCTTTTTTGTGAAAAGAATGAGAAGTATGCAAATAAAAACGTATTAGTGAGGCCAGGGCCTAAGAATTGAGAACTAAAATATCCTAAAAAAAACAATGAACTATTACTAGCCCATACGCTCTAAATCCACGGACTACAGCGTTTCGAACACCAAAAATTTACTGCATTTGTTAATTTCCTTTTTTATTGATGCACCTTTTACACAGCTTTATTTGAACGGCGCTGATGGTTGGGTTTATGGTTTATAGTTTACTACAAGATTATTAGCAGGGGTGTAGAAAGGTGGAGTAAAGTTCATTGTGCAAAGTCGGATTTGATATCGAATTTAAAGGCCTGATGATAAGTGCTTACCAATGTACTGTAAAAGCACTACTTCTTAAGCGCTGGGGGTTTTGTAATTGTTTACGATACGCTTGCTATTTAGACGCCGCTTTATAAGCCTTAAAATCGCACACATGATTTTCTGGGGAGCATACCTGACGGACCGCTCCAGCGATGTCACGCTTACGCATTCGTGATTAAGCCCCTGCCCAAAAAAAGTGCTGGGTGGGCCCTGTTAAGGGGTCGAACAAGATCAATGGAGACAATTTCCACGGTGCGTGAAACAAAAGGAAAGAAATCGATTGATGTCTGATGTCGATGAATAACACCAACACCCCCCCCCCCCTTAAAAACAAGAAAATAAATGAAAGGAATTATCATAAAGTTGTTCAATGCGAACTAATTTTTTTCGTGGCGACCGAAAAGGTTGAAGTACAGCGATAGAACCTATTTTATCTCGTGTATTAGATAAAGCCTCATTCAATTACTTCCGAAAAAATGAAAAACACTTCAATTTTGGTTTCTTCGTTTCCTTTGTAAAGCTTCAAATTACTCTTATATTTGAATGGAATCGCGTTCTTTTGGTGTTTGTTTGTTTGTTATAAACGCACAAAATGCCTACATCTTATGCACAACAAGCGCTACAAATTAAATTATTTTTTAAAGTAAATTTCTGTTATGTCTATCACGTCTTTTAAACAATGCAAGCACTGGTGCTAATCGTTTCACCTGTGAAACTCTTTTTTTTTAGAACAGTGGACGAAGATCAGCAATGATGCTGTGTGTTTTGGAGCTCGTGGCGACGCATATGGAACTTTCAAAATTAAAAAGAGTGGACACATACAAACGTTCAAGCTTGTTCACAAGAACGGGTCGTTAAGATGTAACCCAAGGGATCCACCATCCTTCTGGGGATGCACTCATTCCAACTATAGAGATAGGAGACTGTTGACAGTCATAACTCACGACAACCAACCTATTCCCTCACTTGCAGACTACTTTAAACGCGGAAACGTCGATGGTTGCAGGTATTATTCTTATCGCCTGGATAATATTGATGTCAACTCAACTGAACTGACATTTAACAAGCTTTCCATTCCACTTTCTGTATCCACTGGTCAGGAGTTTCGCATATGGTATCTACAGGACTGGAAAAAATGTTATGAGGATGACAACAGTGGTCAGACTTGCGCAGACGTCTATGCGTGGTACACTCAAAACTAAACCATTGACTCAAAGATACCGAGCTTGATCTTCAAACATTCTGATACATATCAATTAACCAATTGACGAACAGGATCATTGTTTTTCTTTTCTGGAAGATATCTTTACCCAGCACCGTTTAAAGCCGATTTGATAATGAGAAGTTCCGCTGTTATAAGTCTCTTTTCCCTGTTTGGTATAGCACGCTTTACAGTTCATAGGCTAAGAATACAGTCCGCATCAAAAGGCCTTCGCCTTTCGGGATTGAATATGTTACCTGTGATTTTTCGCTGGTGAGTTTTGCTTTCGCTCACTTTCAATTAAGTCAAAAATCAGTGAAAGATATGTTGAAACCTCATGAAATTTAATTAAGGAAATCTAAAGTACTTTGCGCGCCATTCAAATATTCCTTCAAAAAAAGCTGTGAATGCACGTGATGCTGAGTTGTCTGAGCTTTCTTACGCTCAGATGAGAGAGAGGATGACCTCGGTCATCCTCTCTTGATTCTGGTGTTTGCCGTCTTAGATTCATATAATACGATTAATATTTACGTTTTACAGTGACTATTAATGCTATTAATATGAATCTAGCAAGAGAGTTGTTATATGGACAGGTAAGTGGGAGTCCAGTCTTTGTAGCATACAGGTCACGAGGTTACCATTAGCTCCTAGTTTTTTAAGCTTCCCACGGAGCCATTCTATAGGCAGTTGCAACATTAATTTTGATGTATTTCCTTCATGGAGGTGGACCGTTAACACTGTAAGTTGAATTATCTATCATTGTGAATATACTGTTTGGGTATGCCAACATGGGGTTGTGTTTTCAAGGACAGTAACACCGGTATTTTTAGGCGGATACTCTTGAAGTTTCATGATTTGGCAAATTCAATAATTGGCACAGGCCAAATCTGGAAAATTCAATATTCGGAAGGACAAATCTTGAAAATTTAATATTTGGCAAATTCAATATTTCGCAGGCCAAATCACAAATCTTGATAATTCAATATTTGGAAGAACAACAAATCTTTATAATTCAATACTTAATTCTGGAAGGACAGATCTTGAGGAGAACCTTGGAGGATATATCGTATGCAACTAATATAACCCATTTTCTCTCTAGATTTACTGAAGTAATCTATATGAATACAAGATAAAATATTCCAAAACTGAACACAAATCCTAACTCGCCCAACTAAGAAACAACGTTTCGGATTGTAAAGTATTTGCAAGACCAGGCCGCTGAGCCACGTTTAAAAAGGTCGTACCCAATTCGAATTACACAGGTATCTTAGACCTCCGGCACTGATGGATTCGTTGTGGAAATCGGTTTATATCGAAAGGTATGTAGTGAGAAGCAGCCTATCGACCTTAATTAAAGTGAGAAAGGAAAAGACACCGGTTAAACAGCACTCGTGCAAACAATGAAATTTTCTCGTGAACTAGAATCTGTCTGGGTCTCCTCTCCTTGCTCTGTGTCCATAGCAACAGTAGCGATTTCTTTCATTGCTTCGTTCAGCCCCCAAAGATCAGAAAATAACTCTCCAGGCTCCCTCGTATAAGTAAAAAGCAACAGAAAAGAAATGCACGCGCCCGCAATTACCACGGCACCTGACATGTAAAAGGCATGCGTGTAGGAACCCAAGATGTCGGCCATGAGACCTGTGAGACGAAAACAAAAATGTATGCTATCGTGGCGTGATCTCTCGATCGGGAAGTCCGGGTTGAAATCCCGGATCGTTTGGGTTATTACCACTGTTGTTTTTTTTGTTTCGTTTTACTTTTTTCCTCTTTTTGGTTAATGCATGCGTTTCTAACAATAAACCATTTACCTGCGGTTAACTTTTCGTTTCCTATCTTTTAAAAAATCATCGGAAGCTTTTGATCTTTTGGGAATTCGTCTAATAAATAAAGCTTAAATTGTTTTGGGAATTTTATTTTTTCCTCGAGGTTTGGAAACCAAACGCTTAAAAAGCGACTGCAGAAGTTACAGAACATTTCCAAAATTGCTCTAAAAATTTAGGGAGTAACCGCACAGAAAACTCTCAATAAATTAATTCTTAGAATTTTCGTTAAGTTAATCTTTCAACTGACCACATTGGCTTGAGATCTGACAAACCAAAGTGTCCCCATCCAGCGAAAATAACGTTTTGAGAAAACATCACTTAGCTGTCAATCAATAGGAAACGTTTACGTGTACTTCAAGTAGAAAGCGGGTGTGAACATTTCCTCGGTGTATATTTTTAATTTTCTTGTTTTTGTCTGGAAGCTCGTAGATCAAAGTCATTTTTACGAATAAGGGACCGTTCATTTTTTATGAGGGAGGGGGTGCTGGTGGGATTTGGGAAGCACCATTTAAGAATCGCATGACCCCCCCTCAGCTTACCAATTTTTTCACATGGCCTCCCCTTATAGCGGTCATTTTTTGGGATGACCCCCCCCCCAAAAAAAAA